CCTAACTTGTATTACTTCCCGAAGATTTTTTCTAAACTGAATCCTTATCTTTTCGCACTTTTTTCTGTCATGACAAAACAAAAATAAACGATTTATTCAAATATTTTGTTCATATAAGAACAGAACTGTAAAAACCACAATTGCTATAGTTATGTTACAACTAACATAATGAGGAACGATCAAACTGAGGATAACGTGTCAAAAACGAGCGGACTTTTCCCTTATCCCGACAAAACAAAAATAACTCTTCTAACATCCTAACATTCTGAAGGACATCGCTACTACTGAAAAGATATTAGCATCTACGATCAAACAGAGAAAATTTTTGTTAAAATTCACGCAAAACAAGGCCCTGAAGATGATATAAATAAAGGTCGAAACGTTGGCACAATAAAGATGTTTTTCTAGACATTCATCACACAAGACGGCATCTCACGATCTCCAAATGATCTTCTAACATAGTTCAAGCAAAACTTGAAAAACCTACTGTCGTCCATGGCTTTTTCCTTTTCGCAATTATATATTTTTTAAGTTAAGAAAAAATATTTACACATCTTTCTCAAAGTACGCGAAAGGGGGTTGTAGGATTTGATTAAAGTAAATAAATATATCCTTTTATGATGTGATAATTATAAAAACAGGGGCCGAAATAAATCAAAGGGGCTTTCTGCACATATAAAATTGATCGGTAGCCAAAATTAAATGTCTCCGTGGAGGGAAAATGGGATGAGGGTCCGGGCTGAGTTTATAATTGGGAAGTAAAAGGGATGCCCCGTTACATCAAAGACCTTTTCCATCGGAACCTCTCCCTTATCAAAGCTCCTCCAAGCTGCCTCACCCGGCTTAATTATTACTGAAATAGGTGAATTATTAAAGTGATACAATTTAAACTCCTTCCTTTCCGTCTCCAACGTTAAAAGGTAATTCCTAACACGCGTTTCCATTAATTACTGTTTAATTATTTGTTTCTGTGATCATCTGTCACATGAATTAGTAGAACACTTTCTAACTCAATATCTAAAATCCATAGATTCAATGAAGATGTGCTATTTTTATTGTTTTCTGAACAAGTAGGTTATTCTGAAACCTACGTCACACCAGACCGCATCTCACGATTTCTGAATAATCATAGACTAACGGTCACTAATCACCACACATTTCTATGTAAGCTCTTGAAATTTTATAATTCTTGGAAAATTAAATTCTCAATTAAAGACGAGCGAGACACCCCACAATGTTTGAAGCCCTAAAAGATGAACATAGAGTTGCGTTTTTACAGATGGGTCCAAAACGGCAGAGTCTGAACACGGCGGAACTAAACGCGATACCCCTCGCGCTGAGCATGATCAAAAATAAAAACCACAACTCTTTTTTATTATGGACCGACTCGCTCAGTAAGGTCCAGAATCGAGCTGCTGTAGGCCCTCTTATACAAAAGATAAAGGACCGGTTAAAACAGTTCGACACAGATGGAAAACGTCGTACTGGGATGGGTTCCCGGCCACATAGGGATAGCCGGGAAAGAAGAAGAAGTCTTGTCAGACCCATGAGGATCTTTAACGAAGAAGAGAACACCAGGAAGATTTTACATGCATGGATTAGTCACATCTCTTGGCTAGCGAGGTGGTGCAAGTTCAGAAGTGCCTTAAAAAGGGCACAATGTGCCTTGAAAAAAGCAGTTTTGTGGTTTCCAGTATGACCTTTCAGCCGTGCCTTTCACCACCCCCAGGGAGAAAGAGAAGGCATTCTATCGCCGGCTACGGTCGGCCGGTACCCTCCAGCTAAGATACAACTTGTTTGCAAACTACGACTACCACGAGTCCAACCTCAATTAGCAGAGCCGCTTGGATACTCCACTGCCGTGGTTCTGTATTATTTTTAAGGTGGGACTGATCGCCCACCCGGGAGTTCGTACGAACCGCCACTGATGCACCCGTTGCCTGAGGGGTGCGGGTTAAGTAACACAGGAAGCCTTTGCCAAAGCAGAGGGGGGTTAGAAAAAGAAAGGAAAGGAAGGGTATATGAAGGTAAGGAGGGAAATTTGCCTCCATGCACCAGGGTTGATGGTCGGACTTTGCCTGGGCCCACAAGGAAGGTGTTCCTGTGGGTAGAGACAGGGCGGTCATGAGGTTCCCAAATGCTCGGTCGTCCTTAAAAGGACAATGAGGATCTTTAACATTGAAGACGCCGGACGGCCCACGATACTCCCAACTTTACGTCCTGCTATGAATTTCGAATACAATTAAAGGAGAATGGAAAAACCGCTGAGTTGGTAAAAATAGGCCATACTAACATAACTACGCATAGATCATAAAGAGTAACTCACGGGCACTTTCTGGCCGTACAGTTATGTTGTAGTGTTTGTGTTGTGTCAGTTGTTTTTATGATATATATTATAGTGAAAAGAAGGGAGGTTTATCCCTGCCCCGAGGAATATCGAGTACTCCTGGGTGAGTGTAAGACGTCTGGAGAGTAAAAGTAAGTTATTAACGACAATGGAATGGGTTGGGTCAAATTCAGGGTAGCTGATATCTGGTCCTGCTCCTGACCTTCCTTTGATGAGGGCCGTGTCAATTTTCATTTCGGTCAAGGTTCCTTGGCAGCAGAAAAAAAGTCCAGAGGCGACGGTGACAAACTAACGACCACGGGTTGTACTAGCCGAGAATCTGACTTAACCACTCTTACCGCGGTCTCCAGTGTCAATTTACGGAAATGAATGTAATTTATTAGCGTGAAAAGAAGGGCTTCCTGCCCCGAGGAATAGACTATTCTGGGGGAGTAAATATTACCAGACTTATCTGTTTCTACAGAGTGGTGATTCTACATATGTATTGTGTGTTTTGTATTTAGTTCTATAGTTTACAACCTGTGGAACAAATGAAACTCTATCATTTTAGGATATCGACTTAATTTTGATATAAAATCAGAGAATCACTACCCAGATCGAGACGCTCAACTGGTTGCAGGTTGAAAAATACGCGTGAAAGAACAGAAAAAGAAGTAAAAATATCAGAGGGCCGAAAAACGAGCTGTCTGTTATTGAAATTTATTAGAGATCTCCATAAATAGCCATTATGAGGTGGGCGAAGAAGTAAGAGAACCGACCTACAGACATATGAAAGGGCGTTAATTTAATTACAACCAATCATAAAATGATAAATGGTAAGTGGGGAAGAACATAAAAATTTCTTAATGAGCATTACACAGTTACCATGAAGCTTTCTAGAGTCAAATCCATTTATATAAGTTTTTTTTAAATATACAAACAATCCAAGGCGTATGAGGTTCTTCGGTCTGTTCACTTTTTAATTCTGATTATTGGGATTTGACATGTTTCTGCCTGGCTTAGACTAGATTCCAAAATGCAGGGAGATAGAGGAAGGTTCACGTTTTTTCTCAGTGCAACAGCAGAGGTTATATAAACCCTCGGGGTGCCGGTGTTTTTGGAAAAAAAGCCCATTTGTAATCGGGTTCGAATGCAGGGCCGCTGGGTTCGAACCCGGGATCTTTACCTTACAGTGATTAGCGCCGTGTCACCGTCTAAACCTTTGAGGCCACCGACGCCCCCTCGGAAATATTATTAACTAATTTCGTGTAATAAGAGATTTCGTAAACAGAAAAACAATATTATTTCAGTCCTTAGTATTTTAAATATTCAAAATGCAGATTTTAATTAAAATAACTTCTTATATTAGGAAGATGAGTTGTATTTTAATTCTCAAATTTTATTAAATCCATTATATTTCGTGGTCCGATTGACCAAATAACTTCTTTTAATTAATTAATCTTTGGGTAAGGTATTGTTTCAAATAAAAAAGCTAGTGTCACAAGCGGGATTCGAACCCACTACTTTCGGCTAAATATTCCGGTGCTCTACCACTTGAGCTATCGTGACTTCGATCCACTCGGACACCGACTTCCCATCTTAACCTACAACCTTTCGAATTGTCCCTCCTTTTTGCCATTTTTCAATGCCTGCCATTCATTTCAGTCTAAGCCAGGTCAGCGTAGTTAGCCGAAGGTCGTGGGTTCGAATCCCGTTTCTGGCACTAGCGTTTTCATTTCAACCTTCATAAACCTTACACAAAAAGATTAGTGATAATAATAATAATGCTTTATTGTACTTAAGAAAAAAAAGATAATTGTGATTTCAAAGCATTTAAGGACATGGATCTTGAATACATCTGCCACACATAAAAAGATTAATTAATTGAAAGAAGTAATTTGTTCAATAGACCATTAAATATAATGTTAGTCGAATAATACAGACACTAAATTTTTTATAAAATGACAGATGTAAGATGAAAATTGAAACCAAATTTTTTGGTCAATTATCCAAGAGTGGATACACCCTCAAGTAAATGAACGTTCATTTTTGAACCAAAACTACGCCACCGACCATTCCATCACAAAAAATTCTTGTGGTCACCATCACATAAAATTACCATATTGAAGCATTACGTCCTACAAATATCAGGTATAATGTGAATTTGAAAAAAAATAAACTTTCGAGAAATATATCCCCTTCATAAGGACATTGAAACTTTTTCTAATAATTTACACGGTTAAAAAATGTAAAAATCTACTCACAATATCAAAAATTGTGACTTCAACAACAATGAATTTATAAGTTTAGCTTAATAGAATAAACGAGGTCTGCCACCCGTCCACAATACTAAGCTAAACTATGTGTTTACCAGAAAAATAATTAATCAATTGAAATAATTACTTTTCACCTAATTAATATTTAATTAAGGTATTGGTTGAGATGAAAAAGTCAGTGTCACAAGCGGGATTCGAACCCACGACCTTCGGAGCTAAATACGGCGCAGCTCTACCACTTGAGCTATCGTGACTTCGATCCTCTCGGACACCGACCTCCCATCTCAAACTTCTTTTCGAATTTTCTCTCCTTTTTCCATTTTTCTTAAATTTTATGTTCAAGCCTACGATTTTATGCAATATATTTAGTCAATAAAACAGTAATGAAAAAATAAACCTATGATAAATTGTAAGTTTTATTTATTTATGATACAATTGGTGTGTTTACGAGTAGAAACTGCCAGCACGTTTGGCTTCTGTAGTCAGAAAACAAATATAATGTAGTAGTAGAACTTATATATTATGCAACAAACCTTGTTGGACCTGGAACCGGCTTGCAGAAAAGATTCTACTGTTCGTTGACGATTTTTCAACTTAAAATGAGGAAGCTGTTGAGAGGTTAGACGATTAGATAAAAATTTATTAATTAAAGGGATAAAAATGTAACTCACGATAGTCCACGATGATTGTCAGTCGAGCATAACCATATTTGAGAATTTGACGGAGCTAAAACATATGTATTTATGAAAATGAAAATATAATCCGAAAAAAGTCGTATTTACTTGTTTCTTATTTGCGATAGGAGGGATTTGACAAGTTCGATGTCTTTTTTCCGTTTTTCCACGTCGTCCTTGGCGATTCTGAGCTGGTTGGAAAGCTCCTTGATTTCGCTCCTCAGTTCGACGCTTTCGAAGATCTTTCTGTCATCAGACATGGGTGGAGTCGTATTACCACCGATGACTTCCCGGGTCTTCAACATGCCTTTATTAACCCGGTTAATCTCATCCTTGAGGCGGTGGATTTCTGCTTCGATCATATCGATCTTTTTGACTTGCATGCTGTTCCTGATCTTCTGGGCCCGGGCCAGTTTCTGGAGTGTACTGTCCTGTCTTTTAGAATCGCCGTACATGGTGCACCGAACGGACATTTCCCGGAGGAGGGCTAAATCCTTGTAAGCGGACGTCGGCGTCGCCTTGTCGGTGTTAATGGAATACCTCGCGTTCTTGACGATCTTGGCCAATCGCTCCAACTGTTCAGTCGCTGATCTGAGCTTTTCGTTCGCTTCCCTAGCCTTCTCTTTGTAGATCTCCTTCTCCATCTCGCACCTGGCCAGTTCCGCCTTCTTTTTCAAGCAGTCGTCCATCAACAGTTTCAGAGCGGCCTTGTCGACATAGACCGAGCTGCTAAACAAACCGCAAGCTGTTTTGTTTGAATCGACGATATTGTCGACCCGATTTTTTATCATCGGAAGGCTGCTCATCTCTTTTATACTCTTGTTGCTTTAACCGTAAAAATGACATGTATTTCTTGCCTGTTGTTCATGTTGTATAAAACACATGTACAGTGTTTCCCTAGAAAAAATTGTTTTGAATGAGCCAAGGAAAGGGCTTTAGGCTGCTTTCCTATTAGCTCTTAACCGGGAACATTTTTTGCCACGATCATCTCGTGTAAGTCATAACTGGTCATTATCAAAATTATGGCCTAATGCATAAGAAAAATGCAAGTCCATTTTGAAATAATGAATATTCTTTCCAAAAACAATTCTATATTATTTAATAGCATTATGTACATAGTTACAAAAGCAAATGTTTAAAAACATCGACCAAATAACAAGCAAAAATTTTTGTTCTTCATAAGCGGACGACTAACTTCAAGTTTGATCAGGTGATATTGAGTGGTAACAATAAAACTGAAATTTTTTAATCCCAATAATTTTTTTTAAAATTATTACAGGCACTTTCGGTTAGTATCCACCTAAAAAATTTACGACCTACTAAGTATGAATAATGGGTTTTGATGATAGATAGATGAGATTAATGATAGATGTTAGGTCGAAAATATAGTCACATTTTCATTCACGATCTTACTGGACATTTCTCTTTTCGAGTTAACACGAGATAACATCTTACAAACATCGTGAATACGCCTGTTATATTCACATGCAAGACAATCGTGTATGCAGATTGGAGTGATCGGATAAAACGACTTTTGGGGGAACCCGTCTTCACAAGATTCCTTCACTTTCACTTTTCAACAAAAGATTGTGATACCTATCACTACTCCGAACCTCATGGCAGTAGTATGCGTCACCTTTCGTGAAGTCTGCTAGTGTCCCTCAATTAAAACACTCCAAGTCCACCAAAATCGAGTTCTGCGGATTATTGGATTATATTCGGAACTCTGTAGTTTATCGTGATCTGAACACATCAGAGGTCGCCGAAGTAGTGAAAGAAGCATATGTCCAATTGTATCAACGCATAACTGAGCACCAGAGAACCATCTTCACTGATTTTTGTGTGGTGTTTAGTCACAGTTGGCCAATGATTATTTGGAGATCGAGAGGTGCGGTCTGGTGTGATGTAGGTTTTAGAAAAACATTTTCTTTATCGTGCCAACGTTTCGATCTTTATTGAGATCATCTTCAGGGCTCAAAGTGTTTGTTTTCCGTGTAGAGGTGTCATTCTTGTGAGTCGTGTTGAGAGTGCCCATGTTTTCGTTCTTATCGTTTAGTGACAGTTGGGCATTTGACATTTGATGTAAGACTAACTTGGATTACACTCACACACGATTAAAAAACAGACACATAACGAACGATTTAAAATGCTTTATTACCTACTCAACCGACAATAAAAATAACCATTAAAATCAAAACGTTCGACATACACATACCTACTCAAACCCATATGGATGTACGGGTGCAAAGTTTACGGATCGACCAAATATTCCAATATTGAAATTCAATCCAAAATTTTAAAACTGTTTCAGTCCTTTTTTATGTAATCAATAATGATACACTTGATAGAGATATTCACATGCCAACTATTTTTTGATCCATCAAAATATATTACAGACATTTTCATAGTAAACTACAAAATCACACTAACACAAATACGATCATTCCCCAACATTACCATGCAAGCGATTAAAAGAATATGTATAAGAGACCACTCAAATGATTAATATGATTTTATTAATCCAGAGAGGCTGCCAATGGGTAGCTTTCTCTATAACGCCCGTAATGTCATAATCATAAATTGAAATCCAATCTTCTGGTTGTGCATAATTCACGTACATTTGGAGAGGAAATCAATGAAGTAATAAAAACATGTGTCTTAATTAAACAGCTTTTATCAGTTAAATTCACTTAATTTATACCAGCATTGCCATGTCTGACGGGAAAATTTCCCAATATTTTTACAATGTTTTTTATTGTTCAATAAACTGTGTTTTTGAATCGATCTAGCCTAGAAAACTTTAAGACGAAACTCTACAAGAATAGAACACGCAGGGGCGTCAGTACCCGCAACGGTTTAGGCGTTGACACGGCATTGATAATGTAAGGTAAAGGTTCGGGGTTCGAATCCAGCGGCCCTGCATTGGAACCCGACATACAAATGGGCTTTTTTTCAAAAACACCGGCACCCTGAGGGTTGATATATATTAAAAAAAAAGGAAAAATTCTCTGCTGTTGCGAGAATCCTCGTAAAAAAACAATAGGACACTCGGTCGTAAAGTAAAGTGAAACAACTTTTGCACTGGAATTGCACGTAGAGCAAGTTTCATTGAGGTTTCCCCTTCTCCAGGGTTGTGAGTTCAAATACATTTGTTCAAATACATTGAGTTCAGACGATCTATCTATCGTCGTGTTAGTTGGGTCGAAGATCGCCAAGGAGAGATCCATCTCTTCGTAGTATGATTAAACTCGATGCTCCCCTTTATTTAAACAATCTTCCCTGTGTGCTACTCTAGCTTTGTTCAGAAGTTTCTTTGAAAACTCTGCCCAGTCACTTATGATCTCTCATGAAACGGATAAACCACATCCCAGATCCTTGGCTTAAAATTCCAATGGTCAAGCCTGGTCAAGCCATATACTTCGCACGGAAGTTACTTTATATTTTTCATTTTTTGCCAAACTGTATATGACTTATGACCAAAGCTTCTACATTTAAAACATCTGCTCAATTTGGCTATAGTGCCGTAAAACGTGTAGGACGACAGATAACATTTTCATTTAAACTCCTGTCAAGTGGAAACTAATCGAATTTATCACGAAAGGTCCATATAGTCATCCCCAATCACTTACTACTCTTCTCCTTTGGCCGAGGGGTATTCTTCGGGAAAAAGCTCCTTTTTCTCGCCCCTTCGTACTTTTCAAACCTCGGTGCGCTAAACTGTTCCCTGCTCGGAAACAAAGGATACGGCGAGGGTGAACCGTGAGAGTGGCAAGCGTTTAAACGGTGATTGCGGCCAATGCGGTTCTTCCTGTCACTTGAGACCCTGCCCTCGGTCAGAACAGGTTCTACAACACACTCCACAGACGTGGCCCCGGACATTTCAAAGTTTACGGAAATGGATTGTTATACTTTCGAATCGCTGTTCATTACGGAAGTTAATTTTCCGGTTGGGTGGAATGACAATTATTATTTTTTACATTTTTGATGGCGGCTGCCAGAATCTGGTCCGTCTAATCTCGCTAAATTCTGGTTGTAAAGTAGTTTATTCTTTGTCTTCATTGTCTCCATATTAATTTCCTTGCTTTCCCTGAAGCATGTAGTGTTCAAACTTATTACAATACAAATAAGCAACTCAATTCAAGATATGCCCTGTACATAAAAACAAATCGAGAAGAAAATTTTTTTGAAATGACCAAATTTATTGGAAGTAATTAAATTTATACTCAACAGAATAATTTTTTACCCCAGTTATTTTTGGTGTTATAAATAAAATAAACTTTTGATGGAACTTTCATTGCTTGATTTTTGTGGCATGTTTCCAGGCAATGTTCATCCTGTTGCGCGGTGAGCTTGATGGAACTTTTCTGTTTGAGTTTTTCCTTGACTTCTCTTCATCTTCAAATTGGCCTACCAAACGTGTGGCTTCCGCATCTGTAAATTATGTTTTCTCATAATGTCTTAATATTACCAAAATTTCAAATAACATCATTTTCTTCATAGAAATTTCAGGTCAATTCGAAATACATGTAATACATTTAGTAAAATATTAAAATGATACCAAAACCAGAAGGACAAAATGTGTTACATTAAGGAATATTTAATAATTAACGTGTGGTGATTAGTGACAGTTAGTCGATGATTATTCGGAAATCGTGAGATGCGGTCTGGTATGACGTAGGTTTCAGAAAAACATTTTCTTTATCGTGCCAACGTTTCGATCTTTATTGAGATCATCTTCAGCGCCTGGGATTTACAAACAGTTTAAATTTAACAAATACATGTAGGATGTGGAAAAAAGGTAAAATTAGAATTAGTAGAAATACTTTGATTGAATATAAAAAATATTTTTTTTTTGGATTGTATAAATTCACTTTTTTTCACATCCTACATGTATTTGTTAAATTTAAACAATGTTTGTAAATCCCAGGCCCTGAAGATGATCTCAATAAAGATCGAAACGTTGGTTCGATAAAGAAAATGTTTTTCTGAAACCTACATCACACCAGACCGCATCTCACGATTTCCAAATAATTAATAATTAACCCCGTTTGCCATATAATGACCAATTAGTCGATTTAAATTTTATATTTAATAAATCCATTGCATTTCGCGGTCCGATTGACCAAATAACTTCTATCAATTAATTAATCTTTATGTAAGGTATTGGTTGAAATAAAAAAGCCAGTGTCACGAACGGGATTCGAACTCACGACCTTCAGCTAAATACGCCGCTCTCTACCACTTGAGCTATCGTGACTTCGATCCACTCGGACACTAAATTCCCTAACTAACCAATACCTAACTTTCGAATTTTCCCTCCTATTTTTTCAACCAATACCTTACATAAAGATTTATATTTAATTAATAATTAGGGAGTTGCTAGGATGGCCGACTAATAGGTTCACGACTAAGCTGATGACCAGAGGTACTCTTATGTATTATTTATTGTCATATACTGATATTTGATTTCAGGTAATACTGTACTATATGAATCGCAACTTTCTTCGGTCGACTGTTAATTTTCAGGGTTCTTGTAGTGAGATTCGGACTAATTCTAACATTTTTAACACCTTGACGCTATAATGTTAAACGAAATAAAACACTCTCAAATATCAGTAATTACAACTTTTTTCCCGTAATCTTTTCAGTAATTTCCGTGTGTCATTTTCCATCTGAGAATCGCTAATTGAACAGTTCGGAGTTAACGAGGCAGCCGTATAATACAATTTGCCTTGACTTAATTTAAAAAATACTCTTGCTAATACCACGAGGCCATTGCAATTCCGCATCGCTCCTTTCCTACTTTAACCGGCCTGATGTTGATTGTTCCACGTGTCGCCTCTATTTCATGTAAGGGTCGAACACGTGGGCGTTTAATTAAAAAATAAACAATAACATAAATAAACAACTAATGCATATATACACTGCTCCAGAAAAAAGTGACTTTGAAATTTTGATTTTTTCATGAACTTGCCTACTCTGTAATATTAACAGTGATACTTTTTTACAATTCAGATCTTTTTATTAAAAGATTTGGTTAGTGTAAACATAAAAATATTTCTCAAAAATAAAAAAGTAATATAAAAAAGAAAAAATCTCTTTTGTATATGAACATAAAACATTATGAAACCAACTTAAAAATACTAACTTTTTAAAATTATTTTTATCAGTTTATGCTTAATTATATAAATGCTCAATTAATTA